TAGTAGTTGTATAATATATTTAATTCCCCTCATATAAGCAGCCATGCCTCTTATGAATTATGACGGTATAGGATTGGTTGTCCTAGTATTGTATGTGCATGACGAACCCGTTAAAGAGTTGTTCCATGTCACTATCTGCCTGTGCACCACGAACATCTACTCTCAAACTTAGCGAAGCCCGTGGAGACTACTGGAAATCATCATCTACTACGGTCTCATAACAAGCCCCGAAGAAGACCTAATCCGCGCGTTCCTGAACAAAGTTCACGCAAAGAATGCCCCGCACTAGCATCCCGCTCGACATTTCCGAACCTCCCCACATCCATGGATCTTTCCGGCATCGCGCCAGGCAGGCCCGGTTGAACATATATCCACCATAGACTCAGATCCTAGCCCTTCAAATACATAGAACACTGCTTGTAGCAAGAGTAAAATTTCCATCATCAACTCATATCTACTGCAAACAATGGCACCAAACTGGGACAGACTTATCCGCTTCATCGCCACAGATGGGCGTGAGCTGCGGGGTCAACCAATCCTCCCCTCGCCAGAATTCGATGTCGGTACGACGACAGAAGAGACGGGACTAAAGGCCAAGGTAATCGATGTCAAGAACAATGACATCTTCGACCCCGCCACCAAGGTTACCGATGAGGAAGTCACCGTCAAGAAGCTACTAGGTAAGTTCTGACTGTACGAAGTGCATGTGAGACATATACTAACTTTGTACCTCTACCTCTGCAGGCCCCGTGACCACAGACGAAGTACCCATAATCCGGTGCATAGGTCTAAACTTCATCAAACACAGTAAGTCCCTCTCTCATCTCGTCTCTATCCGAAAAAAAGAGACACCCCATTAACCTCACCACCCCAGTCCAAGAAGGCGGCCGCACCCTCCCTCCTTACCCCTCAACCTTCATCAAAGCCAACACCTGCCTAAACGACCACAACGCGCCCATCGTCATCCCCAAACTCGCCCAAGACAACCAAGCCGACTACGAAGGCGAACTCTGCTTCATAATCTCGCAAGACGCCAAAAACGTCTCCGAAGCCGACGCCTTCAACTACATCGGCGGCTACACCTCCGGCAACGACGTCTCCTCACGAAAACTCCAACGCGACCCCCTCCTCGCCGGCACAGTCCCACAATGGAACTTCTCCAAAGGCTTCGACACATACGCGCCTTTAGGCCCTCAACTCGTCTCCCCACGCGTGATTCCCGATCCGTCGAAACTGCACCTCAAGACTGTGGTAAATGGGGATCTGAGACAGAGTTCTGGAATTGACGATTTGTGCTTCAAGATTCCGACGTTGGTGAGTTATTGTAGTCAGGGGACTACGCTGAAGAAGGGCACGGTTTTCATGACGGGGACGTGTGCGGGCGTGGGGTATGCGATGAAGGAGCCGCAGTTTTTGAAGCCGGGGGATGTCGTGGAGGTTACGCTTAGTCCGGAGATTGGGACGTTGAGGAATACGGTGGAGTATGCTTAGGTGGATGGGTGGGTTGAGGGATTGGACTGAGGGTGTGGGTACGGGGACCTTGATGGGGAATGTATGTACAGTGCTTTGGGCTATTCGTTTGATGTTTTGAATGCATAAAGGTCTTGCACAATTCCTGTACTTAGGATTTGAAGCTTGTGTACAGAAATTGTTGTGGTTCCTCACTAGGGCTTCTTAGACTGGAATACGAAATCAGAAGTCGACGACGGCGATTGTATTGGATCTATTGTTCGTACAAGAGTTAGCTTATCGTGTCGCGTGGATATCACTTGTTGTAGTTCCCGAGTAAACGACACGCTTCTTCATACTCTTGAGGATGATGGCGTGATAGAATACAGATGTCCTTGGAGGACGAGAAGCTTTACCATCTAAACCTTCCCATCAGATCTTCGACCTCGCCTTACTCTTCTCCTCCATCTCCCTCCTCTTAATCTCAAACCTCTCCATGGGCGCCCCCTCAACAAACCGCTCCGCCAACGCATCCACAGCATTAACCACAGCCACCAACCTCGCATCCCTAATCGGTGCATTCTGCAACCTCTTCATCTCAATCATACTCTTGCCATCATTCACTTTAAGCTGTTCCTCCAAGAACGCCTCAACCTTGCCATGAAACTCATCACCAGTAGCATCCCACACGTAATTGTACAGGCCGGCATCGAGCAGCTCTTGCGCGGAGAGCTTGCGGCCGAACATGAGGAAATCGTTTGCGCGGTGGATGCCGATGGATTGCGCGAAGGAGAGGGCGGAGCCGTTTTCGGGGACGAGACCGAGGGCGGAGAAGGGGCATTGTAGCCACGCGGTTGAGGAGGCGAGGACGATGTCGGCGATGCCTGGGAACCACGCTGCGCCGCCGCCGACGGCGGGGCCGTTGAGCGCGAGGATGAGGACTTTGCGGTGGCTGTGGGGTGTTAGTGTTGCTGTGTGGGAATACATGGGTGTATGTAGACTTACTCAATCATCGAACGTAGAAGCTCCGTTGCTGTGCCCATGTCAGAGTTAGTACTATAATTCAGAAGTGCCATCACATTTCAACATGAAAATAAAGTTGCGGCATAAGCAAGATCAAGAGGCGGACATACCATAGCTGAACCTTGACATGTAACTCAGCTTCTTCTCGGCATCGTTCTTGAAAGATTCGCTGCCTCCTCCAGCGATTCCCTTGACATCCGCGCCGGCAGAAAAGAAGCGTCCCTCGCCTGTGAGCACGGTGAAGATGGTGTCGGGGTGCTCATTGAGAACGCGTAATCCGGCGATGATGTCGGGAATGAGGTTTCCGCCAAAAGAGTTCAGGGCCTTGGGCCGGTTGAACTGAAGGATGTGTTAGCGGACGCATACTGTGATGTTTGCGCATGGGTGGATCGGATAAGATCGTCTGGAGGGATTCGGGAGTGTGCCACGCGGATTGGTGATGGAGTCTTTGAATATTACCTTAATGATACCGATCTTGCCCTTGATCTCGAACTTGATATCCGAGTAATCCGATGGAGAAGTCATGATGTTAAATTTCCCCAGCTCTTTCACGCTGTCCTGTGAGGCGGTAGAGCAGATCACCGATTACAATGTCGCAAAGATTCTCCTATTACCACTATGTTTTAGGTAGGTGGATGGTGAGATGGGTGTTGAAACTTCAGACTATCGAGACGGAGTGTCCTTGCGGAAGATGAATAGTAAGCTTTCCCCGCAAGACGCGACAGGCCTCGGTTCGGGCGACAGAACGAAGTCTAGTGTTGTGTGTGTTGTCGAGTCAGACCATATAAACGCGATCTAAAGAACAAAGCAATTAGATGTTATGCTTTGATGCTGATTGCGTGATGAGAGATGATGCAGCGAGGTGATGTAGTCGCGTACCTGTGCATGGGTTGCTGACGATACTGTGAAGAACGATGTCGCGTTTTACCTCGGCAGGGTTACCTAGGTACGAGGCACGTCATCACGGGCTACTACATCCACAACATCGCATGCACAGCACAGAAGCCTTAACGGACTCATGTACGGAATCAATTTGATCGTTCGCGCTTTTTTTAATGAGATCTGATAGGAACTCTAAGATAGTAAATCGTACTTACCGCATGACGCGCACGCGCACACTCCGTGTAAAGCAGGCAAAGTCACTATCTTAAGCCACATTTCGCACAAGGTGCACAGCATCAAAAACTATGACCCGTAGTGCTCTGAAGGTATATCCCTAGAACACCTAGCCTTTTTGTGAATCCATTCTAAAGCATGTGATTCGAAATCTTTGTTACAGCCCCAAATCACCTATCCATGTTCCACGCGCAAAGTCCTGATAGCCTGGAAAGGCAGATACAAGCGGCACAGGAAAGTCGATAACACTCGAAATATGACGACGTTGCTTTTCGCTCTGCGTTATTGCAGCACTAGCCGACTGGGATGAATGTAAAAAAAGAGAACTGCATCACATCCTCGCTGAAGCTCGAAGTCTAGCTGGAGTATCCATCCGTAGTTCTTCATTGCCCATCAAGCAAGTCAAGTCACAAGCAGTATACCAGTCACGGGCATCACGCAAAACATTCAATCAGCGGTGCGAGAAAAGCATATAATTCCAAAGCAAACAAAACTAAAAGCACCATCACTCGCACCACACGTCCCCTTTCCCCATCTCCAAGCGCAATGGTCGTGGCGAGCTAGATGTTCCTTTCCCGTCCCTGGAAGCAGCCTCCTTGATGGAGATCCGTCAATCACGCGGACTACTAGCCGCCAACCCCATTGCAACCCTTCGAGTCTACCAGCCAAGCTTCAGTCACATACACTCTTCGCCAGATACAATTTAAAATCGTCCCCTTGTTAAGCTTTACCTCCCCACAAGCTGGCAGACATGTCCGAAGGGGGGAAACTCAAGGAAAGTACTAAGAACCACATGAAAGGACGAGGGGGCAGGGGATAATTAATGCGAGGTGAAAGCCGTAAAGTCAAACAAAGATCAGTCATCAGCTGGAGAGCTGCCCAGTAACACTAGCTGTGCAAGACGACCAAGATAATCGGTTGGCTGTAATCCGGAAGGAGTTGAGATGTGTTTACAAGCCGAACTGTAATGCCAAATGGAGATACCGTGTGGGTCGAGCTTCCAGAGATGTGTGTGAGATAGTCGTCAGAGACGCATGGCCATGAGAAACGCAAGACAGTGGAATGTCTTCCTAGGTCCGTACGAGGTGTCTGACGAATGGATCCCATGAACTGATCAAGGAGCGACGCCGTCCAATATGTTGCCAGGACGGCAATGCCGCATTTCCCATTCGTTGTGTGTGCGGAGCCGCGTCAGAAGAAGCGGTCACGCAAGAGTTGAGATGACGAATCGAAAGCCGCATCAAATCAGTAACCAGATGCATACTGGTCCCCGCCACGCTTGTTGGCCGAACGAAGCTGCCTGAAAGAAGGAAGAAGGTTAGTAAAATCTGGATCTGGCGCCCCCCGCGCTAAGCGTTCTCAACACCAAACGCAAAGGAGAGGGTCCCTTACGAGGATCAGATATATCGAACTCACATTCCGGTGCCCTCCTGGCGCGCGTTGACCGGACCGCGCTTGGTGCCAGCTGCCGTGCCCGCGTTGGCAGCGGCGGTGGTGGTGACGTGGCGTCCGCGGCCCTTGTCGTCTTCCTCGCCCTGGCCCTGGTTGGCAGCCTGGGCGATGGCTTGGGCGTTCTTCTGGTACTTGTAGACGGTCCAGTCGAACACGTAGTCGTACTGGAAGCCTTCACGGACGAAGAGGTCGCGGAAAATCTTGCGGAGGTACGAGTAGTCGGGCTTGTCATCGAAGCGGAGGGAACGGGTGTAGTTGAGGTAGATGGCGAACTCGTTGGGGAAGCCACGGCAGAGGACCTCGGTGGGAGTCGTCATCTTCTTCTCCATGATACGGTCGTATTTCTGCTTCTTGGTGGCCGCCTTAAGACCCTGCCAGGGAAGGGATCCACGGCAGAAGTAAAGCATGACATAGCCCAGAGACTCCATGTCGTCACGGCGGGATTGTTCTGGTCATGTTAGTTTAGCAAGCTGGATGATGTGCGGGATACGTACCGACACCCAAGTGAGTGTTGATGGAGGCGTAGCGGGCGGTACCAGTCAAGTTCTTGTTCTCTCTGTACGGGATGTGGAAGTGCGTCTTGGGATCGCGGTACTTCTTGGCCAGACCAAAGTCGATGACATTGACCTGGTTGCCGCGCTTGCCAATGCCCATAAGGAAGTTGTCGGGCTTGATGTCGCGGTGGATGAAGGACTTGGCGTGGATGTACTCAATGCGGGAGATGAGCTGATCGGCGAGGAGCAGAACAGTCTTCAGGGAGAACTTGCGGTTGCAGAAGTTGAAGAGATCCTCGAGGGAAGGGCCGAGCAGGTCCAGGACCATGGCGTTGTAGTCGCACTCGGTTCCGAACCAGCGGACAAAGGGGATGCCGACACCGCCAGCGAGCGACTTGTAGACGCGGGCCTCATATTCGAGCTGGGGGTGCTTCGCCTTGACGCTCTCGAGCTTGATGGCGATCTCCTCACCAGAGATGATGTTGGTACCTGTAGACGTCAGCGGTGCTGGGGCGGTGGGCGACGGGCGGCGACTACGTACCGAGGTAGATGTCACCGAAACTGCCGCTACCAATCTTGCGGCCGATTCTGTACTTGTTGCCGACGCGGAGGTCCTGCTACTGTCAGCCTGGGGTCCTGCGGAGAGGTGCTTGGCCGCCGTGGTGACGGCAAGCGGGGTCGGGGCGTACCATTGTCGTCATGCTTGCAGAGGTGCAACCTTGAGGAGGTTGGCCTGTGGTGGAGGGAGGTGTTGAGGGGGGTGGGTCGAGTGTTGTGACGATGGGGGCGCGGTGGTGTTTTGAGGATCAGCCTGCTGCGGTGGACCGGTCAGTATGAGGCTTTAGCCAACAAGGCGGTGAGTAAGCGGAGCGGGCAGCCGAGAAACGCTAAGGGAGGCAGTCGAGCGTGTTGACCGACAGGTAAAGGAAAGGCCAGCGAGCAGGTGCGTCGTGGTGAGAGATAAATAGGGCACGGGGGGCAGAGGGCGGAGCCGACTGACGAGCTGGGCAGGACTTACTGTAGGGCGTGAATGAGCCCAACGATCAACGATGCCGGCGAGCGTAGGTGCGGGCTGGCGGGCGGGCGAGGTTTGCGACTCTAGCAAAAACGACACAGAGAGGCAGCTGCAGGGCACGGGACAGCACAAGAGGCTGGTGGAACAAGCACACTGTGATCGTGGTGCTGTATCAAAGGAACGCTGATGGCAGGATGCAGAGAGCACCTGCCTTGTATTCGGCCACTGTGCTTGGCGCGCTAGCGAGCTCTTTCACCGTGGACTGCTGCCCGCTGCCCGCCGCCGTGTATCAAGCCTGCGGACCGCAAATCACATCCCTGAGCCGCTCGGAGGCATCGCGACCCATCGCACCGCCGTTTGCGTTGCGCGTGTCCGCACATGTCCAGGGTGTCACTGTCGAAATGCCACTGCCCGTTTCAAATGCCGTCGCCTGACTGCCGCATCATGCGACTGAGCCACAGATCTGCCCCTTTATGCATCTCGCGCGGTTCACGAACCGATTGCGCTATATTTGACTTTGACCAAGAACGTCCTGCAGACGCCGTCCCGCTGCTAGAATGAAATTTCGTCGTAGCCGATGTTCTGGAAAGACTGCGGCCCGAAACTGTCTCGTGACGAAGGTCGGGTACGGCAAACACATCATAATTCAGACTAGGCAAACACCACTTGCGTATAACAGTTTCATCGTTCAAAGCCAGAAACTACCCCATAAAGAGCGTCCTGTATATCCGTACAAGCCCTTTCAACAACACAATAGCGCTCAGCGAGATGCTTTTTCATTCGGAACAAAGGAAAGCATCAGTCCTACCCTATTTAAGGGAAAAACCGAACACCTAAGAGCTTACATTAAGATAAAAGCTTACAAAGTTAGTAGCCTAACAGCGACGTAGGCTCCTAGGTGTTTAGTTTTTCCCTTGTATAAGGTGGTCCTAACACCATGTCCCGACTCTCTCGCTGTGACATCACATCTGCAGGACTCTTCAGACTATGTAGTTATGCCTGCTAACCGAACCCGCTATACTTACTGTATGAAGCACCGCGTAGCATGTGCCCATGATCTGATACTCAGCATCACATCCCGCCTCTCATAGAGAAGACAGTTATACAATCTCCTTTGTAGAGCTGCTCAGCTATGTCAGAAACATTCGATACCGGAAACATCCGAATACCATCTTGACAGCGTACACCATCAACATTTAGTGGCAAATAGCGTCGAAGGGAAATTGGAACAGTCTGTAGGTCAAACATAGTCCAGCAGCAGGTGATCTGCATGCGGAAACCGCCTGGTAGATGGGATTAAACCCCACCATATCTCTGATCCTCTTGGGTTGAGCCGAAGTACGCTCCCTGGCAACGTGGTAGCGATCTCTGCGTGGAAAGTTGCCTGCAATTCAGTTGACACGCACTCGCATGACCAGAGCCGCAGAACAAGAGAGATGATATGTTCGTGATGGGTTGATTTTGCCAAGTCTATACAGCCATCTCAGTCGGAGACCTTGAATGATCCTCCTCCTCCGCGGCTATTATACACTGCCTCTGATTGCACTCGTATGCTCAAAGACCGCTCCCCGTATCGCGAAGTATCCTGCTTAGTGGTTCGGCGCCTGGTTCTTGAGGGCTGGGTTGCGCGGGTCGTTCTTGTACTCATCGGCTGTGCTGGTCAGCCTGCGAACATGGATCGAGCTGGATGGCTTCGTCTCTGGGATGGGGATTACGTACACTGGGCCATGGCGTTGGCGGCAGAGTTGACACCGTAGAGGATGACGAGGCCTATTGACTCTTGTTAATCCTGTCTCACACTGCGAGCCCTCGGCTCCCAAGCAATTCCATCTCCTTCCGGTCCATCAATTGGGCTCCTCCAAGTATTATCTGCCCTAATCTAAGTCGCGCAACGTACCGGAGACGTAGAAAGGCCACATGGGCTTGGCTGTAGTACCTCGTTAGCAATCTTTTCAAGCTCGACTTTCCACTATCTGCGCGTGCAGGGTGTCGTACCGATTTGCGCCGGGAACTTCCTTCCGAGAAGAGGCATTGTGACGTGTGTTGGAGGGGCAATGGACTGATTTGACGGTTGCGGCGAGGGATGCGGTGATGGGTTGAGCTCCGCTCGAAGAACAGCCCTGGAGATGCTTGGCGTCTGCGCACGGATCCCTCACCCCATTGTACTAAGAGGGAGCAACATCCCACTTCGCTCGCGTCCAGATCACACTTGCGATTGCCGAACCGATCACAATCATGGCGCTGGAAGGATGCGTAGGCTCGCTGCGCAGTAGTATGCAATTACTCGATTCGTCTATCAACATACTGGACCAAGGCGTGAGCGACTTCCCTCGATTGGCCAAAGTACTGCAGACGACACGGGTGTGTACACGTTAAGAACATGATTCTACCTTCATCGTGTTGACCCTGGAACAGCATTTCGAGCTCATCTCCGAGTCTGACCTCCAAACCGCGCAATCAGCACTCCTCTCAGAAATCCGCCCTGAAGTCGATAACCTTCTTAAGCGCGTAGAAAACTACCTCGACAAGCTGGAGCGTCGCGAGCAATCCTTGATAGCGAAATGCGATTTGAACGACGGCAGACTCGGACGCGACAACAATGGCAGCTCAGGCTCCAGACCAGCCAGCAGGACCGTACAGCGAAGCGGAGGCAAGACCATCAGCGCGCAACAAGAGATGAGGATGAAGACCTTGAAAGCGAAGAAGGATAGGCTTAGCTATGCCGTAGAGACGCTAGAGTTGCAGGCGAAGCAGAGAGAGCGGCAGTTGCGGATGAGCATGGCCGCACCGCAGCAGTTATATGATGATTGATGTTCTGCTACATTTGGGTAGAGAAAGCATCAGTTAGTCCATTAGTGATGGGATGGGCCGCATCAGTTCACAATCTTGGAATAGGCGTTTTGGCAATAAGATACCCTGGAGTAGTTCAATACAGACACCATATCATACCACGTAATACCAAGGAACGCAACCAGACGTGAATCTTCGTTCAACCTGGGACGCCTGGTGCACAAAGATGGTCCACCACAATAGTGGGAATCAGCACTTTGGGTTGACGCGAATGACATGTGCTTTGTTCCACGATAACAAGTTACAAATGATAGTGCATAGCTTTAAACGTGTAATAAAGCGAAGAGAGTAAGCGTTTTCGGGTGGTGTTGTGATACCCAGTTCAAGTGGTCAAGATGTTGGTGATGCGCTAGCGTCGGCTAACCCCGTGACCTGAGGGAGCGCAGAACTCGCAGAACACCGACATTGAACATTCTCCGACCACATCTTCCCCACCACCCCGTCCATCATGAGCTCTCTCCGCATCGCCCGAGCTGCCCTCCGCGCAAGGCCCGCTGCCATTGCCCGCCCCATCCAGCGCAGAGGGTACGCCGAAGTCGCCAATGACAAGATCAAGCTCTCCCTAGCTCTCCCGCATCAGGTACGCCATACCAGCTGTCGCAACATGCGGGGGCATACCCCAGGTTGCAATTGGCATCTGAATTGAGAGGCTAACCGGTGGTCAACAGTCTATCTACAAGTCCCAGGATGTGTACGTCGTTCGAGACCCCGGCCGATCCCGCAAAGCGAAATCGCGAGTACTGACATGAGATGTTTTACAGCGTCCAGGTCAACCTCCCCGCGGAGACCGGTGACATGGGTGTTCTGGCCAACCACGTTGCCTCCATCGAGCAGCTGAAGCCCGGCCTAGTCGAGATCATCGAGGAGCAGGGTGGCAGCAAGCAATTCTTCCTGTCTGGTGGATTTGCCGTTGTGCAGCCCAACTCCGTCCTCAGCATCAACGCCGTCGAGGGCTACCCATTGGAGGACTTCAGCGCCGAGGTACGAGCGGATGCACGGAGATGGGGAATAACGACTGACAAGGAGATAGGCTGTCAGGAACCAGATCGGCGAGGCACAGAAGATTGCCAGCGGAAACGGCAGTGAGGCTGACATTGCTGAGGCCAAGATCGAGCTCGAGGTACGCACCGCAAACCCATCTTAGCAAGAAGCGCTGACAAGACCCAGGTCCTCGAGAGCCTGCAGGCTGCATTGAAGTAAATGTGTAAATAGCGTTCCTTGAGTACGGCATGCGCGGTATGTATAGTAGCAAGCACAGAGCATGCGTGCTTTCCGTGGTCAAAGAATAGAAGGAGCTCCCTGAGGTGACCAAAACATTCCAAACATCTTGCAGTTTCGCTCCTCTTGACCACATTCCTCTGCAATCCGGACCGACCGTACCTTAGCCCACCAGCAACCCTACGAGCTACACTACTTTTATTGTTACCCTTCTATCAGTTTGTCTTACTTCTTTAGCACCCAGTCTTACTCTGTCTTACTTCGTTACAGCTTGTCTTACTTCACCACAGCGATCGCAGTTTTCCTTACACACAATCAACAGTTACCACGCGTCTACAACATCACCCTTCTCACGTTTGCAACGCATTATCCAAAAGTTTAGCGTCTCATGCCCCGAGGCTTCGACCAACCCACGTCAAGTTCTGCGTCCCGAGCTACCAATGCGGGACTACGCGAGCAGAGCAATCAACCATCAAACATAAGAACTAGACAGGGTCGGTTCGAAGCTCCTGCTACGATACCGGGAGCCGGAGAGGCGAAGCAACCATACCCGACCACATCCAGACGCAAGTCTAGTAGTCCCTCAGCTTTGCCCCTCCCACAAGCATTGAGCGAACCTCAACCGCCTTCTTCCGGACGCAAATCGCCTGCCTATTTGCAAGGCAGGAACCCATATGGCCGAGTCTTGGACAAGGTCCAGCATCCGTACCGGGAGCCCGAGGCAGTGACAACAGCACCTGTACCGCCTTCCCAAGCTGGCTCCAATATCGGTTCACGGTCACCTGCGGTGGGCGTCACAGACTCCAAACAACAATCTCTGGCCCAAGAGCCGGGTCGACGCGGCACCCAGACAACATACCCGCCATCAAGACAGCCACAGGTCCCGAAGTCAGTTCGCTCTGCCAAGGACTTCTTCGAGACGGAAGCCTTTCAACGTCCGTCAGCATCCCGTCCCCCACCTTCAGTTCCTGGTACCAGTGCCGCGAAGGCGCTCGCACCCCAAACCTACCCCTCTAGTTCCTCTCTCGAATCTCCTGCCCATGCTCCCAACCCGAAGTTGTCTTCTACTGCTGACGAGCAAGCCCTCGATACTGGGCTGCTGTTGTCTTCTCTCACGGAATTTTACGATACTCGCGAATCTGTGCAGTCCGTGATCCCCTACAAACAAGGCGAAGCCGATGAGAGCACTCCCATGATCACGACACAGAAAGCAACGCCTCCGGCCGTACCATCTGATCAGGGAGAGGAGCAGTATTTTTCCGACATAGAGCGAGAATCCATTGGTCGTCGGAAGTCTACCAACATCTTTGCAGGCAAATCCGACGGTGCAAGGCTTCCAAATTTCGGCCAACAGGCTGTACAGGACAGCTTTGCAAGCGATGATCCCTCCAAGAGGCCACTTACTGACACTGGCGGAGCCAACCCGGTTGATCACAGAGCCCCCTCTGATGAGATTGTGAGGAGTCTCGCTACCCGCAGTTCAATACCAGCTGCTGAGACCAGGCAAGCCAGCAATCCGAACCCTCCGTCGCAACAGGAAGGTAGACGTGCGAAGTCTGGTCGCGATCTTCGAAGGACTTTCGAGGAAGACAACGGGATTTCTCCCAAACGGCTCAGGCGCAGTGGATCACACACTGCTTCTTTGACAGAGAGTGGTACTTCAGCAAAAGAACCCGTCGATCGTGTCGCGGAGTGGACCCAGAGTACGGATGTTGGAAATCCTCGCAACCAGTCTGGGAAGTCCATTGGTGTGCGTAGACGAGCTGAGGAGATCGTGGCAAGGAATCTCGGCCACGACGGTGCAAGCGACATGAGTGTCTCCCGACAAAGCTGTATCTCAGGCTCGATACCAACTGCCAACATTGGTGTCGAGGAGCAGTATGGCGAGACCAAAGTGCCGGACGATGTCGACAACCGCCAAGGGTACGGACGTCGCGTCACACAAGATTTCGGCTTCCCAGGCGCACGGATTAAGTCGTGTGGCATCAACAAGACAAGCCGACCGTTAAGAGACCCTGGCAATTGGACTAAGCGAGCGTGCGGACACTTCTCATACATGGGCAAAACCGAGCACCGCGAGCATGCACAAGAGAAAATATGTCGGCAATGTTCGACCCGAGTACCAGTGCTTGAAGAGCTACTGTCTACGAAGCGGCGGACACGCAGACGAGCTTCATCAGAATCATTGACCTCTACAACCCCTTCATCGAAAATCTCCACAGATGACTGTTGCCGCCGGCAGAGGCGTCGTCGGTGTCACTCTGAAAGCATGTCGCTTGACAGATGCGGAGATAGATTTGCTGATGAGTTGGGTCATATTATCGACAATATTCTAGAAGAGCATGCAAACACACTCCAGAATGTCATCAGCAACATCAAGAACACCCAACCCAGTTTCGACCAGCTTCGAAGGGTGTCTGGAGATCTTGTTCAGCGATGCAATACCAACGCATGTGATAGGAATCGTTGCCAGACATCCTGTCATCCAGCACGAGCATCCTGTCGACGGGACGATGATTGGCATCCACCTTGCCCATATCTCCCACCCAAAGCGGCAGAGAAACTCAATGTTGGGGCTACAGGCCAAGTCAAGCCGAACCTTAACGATCCTGAATCGAGCCTGCGTGAAGAGGTGCAGTCAATACCCGACCTGGTCGATCTTGTCAAATCTGCAGCCGACGATCTCGGCTTCGATCTTGACCGAAGACCCACCGCGACCGACGATGACGAGTTCCACAACGCCCCTTACGAAGCCACACCCATGGATTCTGTCTCACGTCACACGGATGTCTCCTTCGGGACGACAGAAAACAGGGCGACGGAGGATGAGCCGCTTACTGAGGACAGCTGGCTACAGCAAACACGTAGACACTTGACCGAACTCTCAGAAGCCCGAGAGCAGCTTATGGACGAATTGGATTCCATCGCTGGAGATCTCGACGTGAAATTCCGAGACCAACCCGAGGTTGAGTCGGTGACTGATTCGGATGCACCACATGCACACCGTGTACTCAGCAAAGCTCCCACAGGTCTCTCGCGTACATCCACATTACAGAGAGACGCTCTTATCGACTCAGTACAGCGTATGCTCAGCAAAGCGCCTACTGGCATCTCACGCAGCTCTACATGGCATGAGCAGAATCAGGGAGAAGAGGCTACTGATGACCTCGATATCAGCAGAGCGCCTACTGGCATCTCACGCAGCCCTACGTGGCATGAGCAGGGTCAGGCGTTGACTGCTGATGACCTCGATTTCAACCCGGCACAGCGCAGATCAAGCAAAACTCCTACCGGTCTCTCACGCACTTCTACTTCGCAGAAAGAAGCTATGATCGACTCGGTACAACGTGTGCAACGTGTGCTCAGCAAGATCCCTACCGGCCTCTCACGCAGCGCTACACGGCACGGAGAAGATGACGGAGATGAGGAAGAGAAAGAAGCAGTCGATAATCGCAGTCTCGGACTTGTGCAGCGTGTACTGAGCCCAACCCCTGCAGACTTCTCGCGCAGGTCTACATCGCAAGCAGATGCCATCGTCGACTCGGTACAGCGCGTGCAACGCGTGCTCAGCAAGATTCCTACTGGCCTCTCACGCAGCTCTACATGGCATGGAGAAGACGAGGAGGCCGTCGAAGACCCCGACATCGAGCCAGTGCAGCGTGTGTTGAGCATGTCACCTCCTGGTATCTTACAGGCCTCTACGTGGATCAGGGACGCTTCTGTCGACGCAACGCGACGTGTACTCAGTAAGCCTCTTACTGGCCTCCTGCGCGATACTACCTGGCATAGCATGGGAGACGACCCAGCAGACAGTTCTTTCGTCGAGCCCGTACAACGTGTACTCAGCAAGGCTCTTACTGGTCTCTCGCGCAACTCTACATGGCAAAAGGATGATGATGCACCGGTAGACGAATCCGTTGTTGAAAGTGTGGAGCGTGTACTCAGCAAGGCTCCTACCAGCGTCTCACGCGAATCCGAATAGGAGGAGGATACGCCTACTGACTTCGATACTACTCAGACTGGTCAGCACGATGATGAAGACGAGTCGTTCGGGGAGCCTACGCAGCCTACACTCGAAAAGGTCAACACTAGCCTCTCACGCGCATCTACGTGGCACGGTAACAGACCTGTCGAAGATGAAGAGCCCGGAGCTGACGTTCCGGGTCTCCATGAGGATGATCTGGTTGCCACAATCGTACGGAATGTTCTCAGCAAGGTGCCCTCTGGCTTCTCACGCGCATCCACATGGCAGGACAACAAGACTGTCGACATTGAAGACATCGGGGCTGACGTTTCGGGTCACCAGGGGGATCTGGTTACCGCAATGGTGCAGCGTGTTCTCAGTAAAGCATCCACTAATATCTCGAGCAAGCCAACCTGGCCCAGTTCTAAGACTCTCACCACCGAAGATGAAATCCAGAGCGTTGTCGATAACAGTGTTGACGAGCTTCGGCTTAGTCGCGCACTGACTCGGATTCTCAGCCAACCGAAAGAGCCTCGATCTGTTGGTCAAGAGCCATACAAGGCTGAAGACGTTTCGCCTGAAGAGATCTAGGAGGTGCTTCGAGTGGCGAGAGACGAGCTTCCGGCTGCTGTTGCTTCGATCACCGCCGTCTTGCAGACATTGCCAGCTGCTGAACATGCGCCCAGTGACGAGATCAGTGACGTTATGGAGCCCGATCAGCATGTTGAGCTGGCGTATGAAGCGCAAGATAACCCGCAGTATGATACAACGGACGATCCTCAAATCGAGGCGCAACTTCCGAGTCAAGTGAGCCAAGGATACGGCGAAGCCACGTCTGATACTTACAGCGACCACTACACTGTATCACCGGTCATTGAAGAAGAACCTGAGTTCCAAGCTCCTGTGCAGCGAATTCGCCGAACAAGTACAGCGCCACCTATTGGGCAACGACAAGAATCGTTCATACCTGGCTCAATACCTGTCTCGGTACCTTCCAGTTATTCTTCCGTAGTGGAAAGTTTACCGGAATCGCCCGTTTTATCACGCACAGCTTCGTTCTCCCCTACGCTTGGTACTCGCCGGACAGCTACCATGTCACCATCTCAGTTACGACAAGGTCCTTCAAGCCCACTATCTGTCGCTGATAACGCATCTGAACAACCCATTCTCTTGAGTCTAGCTTCACGCCAGCCAACGCTTGCAAGGCGCCGTACCAGTTCAGCAACAGCCAGGGTTCAGCGACAAGACTCTGTTAGGCCCGCTTCACCACCTAGTGCGGATGATTCAGAAGCACAACCTGTGATTTCGCGTGCGACTTTCCGCCAGCCTACACTGGAGACCCGCCGCACAAGCAGTGCAAAAGCCAACAACAGGCGGCAAGATTCTATCGGATCCGCTTCTCCGTCTGCTGCATATGACTTGGAAGCACAGCCAATCATCTCACGTGCGCCTACACAACAGGGCACTTTAGGGATGCGTCGAACAAGTGCCGCAACAGGTAGCGTCCAGCGCCAGGACTCTATCAGATCCACTTCTCCATCTGTTTCGTATGACTTGGAAGCACAACCTCTCATCTCGGGAGCGTCCACGCAACAGGGCACGCCAGGGATTCGTCGAACAAGTACTGCAACAGGTAGCGTCCAGCGGCAAAACTCTGCCAGGCCCACATCACCACCTGCTATGGATGATTTGGAAGAAGAGCCCGTCTTCTCGCGTGCAGCGTCTCGGCAGGATACGCTAATGGTTCGTCGAACAAGTACGATGTCGCCGAATATTGGACGGCAAGAATCGATGTTAACCACCTCGTTGCCTGTGGCAGAGACCTCGCTTGAGCAGCCGGCCCTCTCGCGTGTGGCCTCTCGTCAGCCTACGCTACTCGTTCATCGAACAACTACGACGTCACCGACTGTACAATGGCAAGATTCAAGTTCAGCCACAGTGTTGCCTGTGGTAGAGTCCTCGCTTGAGCAGCCGCCTCTCTTGCGTGTAGCTTCTCGTCAGCCTACGCTACCCGTCCATAGAGCGAATACGACATCACCGACTGCCCGGCGACTGGACTCCACTGTACCAACCTCATCACCTGTTGCAGACGAATCGATTAGGCAGCCAGTTCTCCTACGTGCAGCATTACGTCAGCCTACGCAAAGGGTTGAACGTATAAGCACAGTGACACCGGCTATTCAGCGGCAACCTTCGACTATACGCACCCCCTCACCTGCGGCAGAGGTCTCATCTAGGATGCCAGTTATTATCCGTGTGGCATCGCGACAGCCTACACAGGGGCCCCGTCAGACAAGCACGATACCATCAGTCGTGCAGCGGAACGACTCCCCAGGGCCTGAAACTTCTCCCATCCTGTCTCTCGCTACGGATGACGTATATGATCAGACGTTTTCGCCTCTTCATTCGCGCCAGTCTACGGTGGAGGTCCGTCGAAGAAGCTCAGTACCGATAGCTGCTCAGCCAAATGACTCTCCAAGCCTCGAAACCTCTCCAGTCTTATCTCTTGCCATAGACAATTTGCCTGATCAGCTATATGCATACTCCGATACGCGTCAGCCTATACTCGAAGTTCGTCGGACAGGCACTGCTCCGACGAGTGAGCTTGTCATATCTCCCGATCTGTCGCCTGCTGAATAGGACACACTTGCACAGCCTATGTCATCTCGCCCGGTTTCACGTCAGCCAACGCGTAAGGTAACTATCCGTGAGGCCAAAACTTATCGTGCGCCTTCATCTGAGCCTCCATCGGACACAGAGGACGTCCTTGAGCCGGCGATCTTGTCGCGTTCTATCTCATCCCAGCCTACACGTATGGCGAGCATTCTTGCTATATCTGAAAGTCCTGTGGATCCGTCGAGAGAAGCAGATGATGCCGCATCCGGGCCTTCGGTAGACGCAGAAGTTACACAGCGCTCTTTCGAGCGGCAAAGAACCATTCGGAGGGAAACGATGCCCAATGAGCGGCTCACCATAGCTGACAGAACCTTGTCTTCCAGTCTTCCGCTTCGTACTCGTACTGGATCTCTGGTTTTCCGAAGTACCGAGCAAGATGTTGAAGCGCCGCTTGATGAACGAACAGAACTTGAGAGGCAGGAGGTTCCCGCATCAATCCACGTCCCTGGCCGCGATGAGGACACTGATCAGGTTGGGAGATCGCCCACGACCGCTTTCGAGGCTGAATCGGAACCTTTCGCGCTCCACATGTATCAGCGAATGGCCGAGGAGCCATCTGAAGAAGAACTTGAGCCCGAGAGCCAAAGCGCTACATCAGTTGACGTCAACAACCTTGAAGAACCGGCTGGTCAGTTCGAAAGAGCATCCACTGCGAATGTCACATTCGATCCCGAATTACTCGCACTTGACGTCTATCAACGGATTGCCGAAGAACCGCTTGAAGAGGACTCTGAGGCTGAAAGTCAAAGCGCTATCGCGTCGACCAATGTCAACGTCATTGAGGCAACGAGTAGTCGAATCCAGAGAGCACCGACTGCTAATGTATTATCGAATCCGAACTCTTTTGCGCTCCGCGTATATCAACGCATCGCTGACGAGCCACTTGGGGAAGAACCTGAGCCCAACGCTATTGCGCCGACGAACTCCAACAGCACTGAGGATATGACTAGTCAAATTGAGAGAGCACCGACTACTCAAGTCTCTTGGACAGTAGAGCCCTTGGAACATGTCAAAGCTCGAAGCCCGACTGGCACGATGCCCCCCGTTGAGAGACGTGCCACACAGACTTCACCCGGGTATCCAGCGAGCATACCACGGGCTGTAACAATAGCTCGCGACGTAGAGCGCAAAAAAAGCAGTGCTGCTCCTGACCAACTCGATAGAGCACTTACCATGCGATCCTCTCCAGCACTGGAGCCTTTGGTATATATCGACCCTGAAGGCCTGCCATCAAAGACTGTCCCTCTCGAAAGAGTGAGGACACAGGCTTCACCTGAACTCTCAGTCGATGTATCACGGGCGTCAACAATACCTCTCGAATCGAATCGAAGACGAAGTAGCGCTGCTCAAGGGCTCACGCCATCCGCCCGAGGATCAGAGCCTTCAGTACACTCCAGCGCCAAAGCTGTGCTCGATGAGACCCCGCAGGTACAGGGAAGATTGAGAGTAGCGCCCACAGAGCCTCGCACAACCGATCGTCGACGCAGCAGTGCTGCCCCTGGAATCACAGCGTCTCCCCCACAGACCATCCTTGAGAGCATAGAAGTCGGAGCGCAAACTAAAAGCCAGACGAAGAAGCCGAAGCAAGGCGCGAACTACCCACCTGAGCAGCAATATCCGCCAGCGCCTGCATATCCCCTACGGGAGACTCCCTCATGGACGAAGCCGGACACTCGAACTCCATCACCAAAGGTGAAAGCTGAGAGTCCGCCCAAGAAGAGAGGATGGCTTAATCTCGGGGCCAAGCCAGAAGAGGAGTCTTCTGAGTTAGAGGGAATCAAATCCCGTCAATCAAGCCAGCCTGCCCTAGACCCATCAGAAGTGCAGCCATTTCTGGACGCGGCACCTGGGTCGCCAGAAGCCCCAGGGGGAACGCAAAAAAGGCAAAACAGCTATCCGAACCAGACCAGACAGGCTACCTATCGTCGAGACTCCAGTGCCCCTCCTATCCGAAGGGCCGACACTCGAACAAGACAACCCTCCGTCTACGCTAACAAGGGCGACTACTACCCAGTCAGTCCGATCCTTCCAGACCGCATTGACAACGGTTCGCAGCTCCAGCCTTCACCATCTCGAAGGAACAGTTACTCCATCCCACAGTCAGCCTCAATACCCGAGAATTCGCCTCAGGACGAACCGCGTGCGCAGTACTTCCGTCGCGTCTCGTCAGGCCCCTCCCGCCGCCAATCGCAATCTCAAGGAGCTCTCTACATCCAGAAAGATGTTGCAGTCAGTTCCAGAGCACCTACGTTCCAGAATAAGCTGGAGACAGAGGACGAGACTTCTCGAACGAATCAAGAACGCCGTGAAGAAGACTTCCAGGAACCCGTCCGGAGAGACGTACGCAGACGGACTGGAATGGGAAGCCCAACCTCGAAAGCAGAAGCAACGCCCAAAGAAGGAGCTCAGTCGCCTGAGACGCGGCAAAAGTTTTCTCCAGTTCCCCAGAAAGAAGGCCCGTCAGACGAAGGAGAGTCAGATCATTCGCGGAGCAGGTTTCCGGAACTGTCTGGTGCTCAAGTGCCAAGGGGACAAGAGCAAGAGCAAGAGCCAACAGCACGAACCGAAGAACAAAGGCGGACTGAAGTGGTTATGGAAGAAGATCCTGCGCCTGCCGACGCCAAGGGTGCACCTGATGAAGACATACCCACCCGCCGTCGCATCGATAACTCAAGCGGGCCCTTCGAAGATGACTATGCCTGGATCAACAGCACGGTTGACCTCTCGCGCTCAAAGACCATCCCAAGAACATCCACCGGAGATGAAGGTGATCGAAGACTTCCAGGTGCAAACCCAGAAGAAGCGCAAATTGCACGAGCAAACACTCGTCGTGCAACCTCAGGACGAGTGCCTGATTCCGCAACAGCCTCACAATCTGCACGAAAAGATTCAACAACCGCCACGCGAAGGCCATCGTCGTCAGTCAAGAGGACGAACACGCGACGGAAGTCATCAGCAGTCGGAGAAGACAGAGCAGCGCCAATCCTCACAGAAGTACCAACGGTCTCCAGAGCACCGACACGATCGGCGACGATCCCCTCAATGTCTCGACAAGCCAGCATCCGGCGAGGGTCTGCCGCTCCTAGAAGGGGTACAGCAGTCTCCCCAGAAGCTTTGCCAGACATTCAAGCCAGATCAACAAAGGAAAGCAGCTCAAGATCAACCCCGCGGCAAGAGTCCAGAGGTGCGGCCTCGCCTGTCGCGGTACAACCAGGTCGACGGTCATCTACTGCAACTAGAACAGGTACGCCAATCTCCAGAGCGGCGTTACCAGAATTTGGAGCCTCAAGGAGGGGGGGAGACGGACCTATGTCGGCCACATCACAAGGGTCGCGTGGTACAACATCGCCAGTCCCAGCTTACGACAGGGGGGATTCTCCTGTCGGAATACAACCACCGAAAGGTTCATTGGGTACAACCCAGCGCGCAGACCAGATCTCAGAACAACAAACCCAGTCAAGCCCACGAACAGAACCAAGCGATGCTAAGCCAGCAATGCCGCGCCGAGTGACCTCATACGGAATGTATGAGTCCAGCTCCAGTGATCCGTATGCTTTACCCAAGAAAGCACCGCGAAAAGCAGCTGCATTAGCCCCTTCAAATGCCAACGCAAGTTCAGCGCCAGTGACGCAGCAGACTGATACCAAACCACCGGCTCTCACTCGTAGAGACTCACTAAAGCCACGGCGCAGTCCCACGTCAAGGATATCAGAACTTTTCGGGCGGGAGAAAGGCGCTAGTCCCGGGAACGGAAGCCAACAGAAGCAACAGCAACTACCCGCACCGACAGCCAAAGCATTGGGTGCGACGAAGACTGGCTTAGCGCCTGCATCTGTTGCAGCTGCACAGGGATCCGATGCGGATACAGCAGTGAAGTCATCCCAAGCACAGCAACTACAGCCAGTCAAGGTTCAGGCAAAGGCTGCGCAAGGAAGTGGGATTACGAATCCTCTTAGGGGGCGCTGGGGATGGGGATGGGGAAGATGATCGACTCGAAGTGTAGGAATGGGTGGTTAGTGGAATTATGAGAAGGATGACGATGCCCTATGAAAGGTTTGGGTGAGTGGAGGAAGACAGCTCGACAACCTAAGTATTGAATTTACTACTTCAACTTCCTAATCAGCTTGTATCACCTCTTAGAAACAAGTCATGTCAAGAAAAGTTGCGTCTGAGTCGCGATCAATGGTTCAGCTCCATCCGTACAAGGGATATGTGGTCCTGTTCGTCCCAAGGTGGAAAGCCTGTATACCTGTGTTGGAAAGGGTCTAATTCCAAGGCCCGAGTTCCGTCTTAACCACGTCATTTACATATCTTGACATAGCTTTAGTTCCACTCACAATTTCAGTCAGAGTCGACGCCCCAAGCTATCTCTGGCTCCAATGTCGTTTGGACAATCTCAAAGGTCTCTATCAAAACATAGCCTATGCTCGAAAGGAAAGACACATAGCGCACGTTGACCCAATCCTGGCATGTACAGCACAGCATCCAACCTAACATCATCTTAGCTGTACTCTCGCCTATACATATTCTAGACATGCCTCGGAGTCTTTTCTTGCCTAAATTCCCTAGATCGGTCTAGGCCGCTCCTCTTCTCCCATGGCTACCTCTTCAAACTTGTCTACTGGGGTGAGACTCGCCTCCTTCTTTCCTTGCGACTTATCTGTATAGCGAGCGTTGTTACTTCCATGAACCACTTCCATAAACCAGGGCAAACACTCAGTGCGTAGTGAATATCGAGTTGTCATCACAGCGCTGTGCTTGAATGGGTTAGGGATGCTACATCCACATTGCCCATTACAGGATGGTGTCGATGTGAAAAAACTTCTTGAATTGAGGTTCAACATTCGCAGCAAATATTCATCTACGGAATCGGCTCATGATATCATCTGTACATTTCATGAGCTGTGTAAGGAGGAAGACAAGATCTTACAAACTCATATTCAAGGCGATAAGTTTCGAGTTAAGATAAAGAAGGTGTAAGTTCGGTTAACTCCTCAACCGCCAATATATCTACCACCATATCGAGACATGACAACTGAGCTCAAAACACTTCCACTGACTGTGAATACCAACGCATTTGCGAATTCCTTCTCAGGTTCAGGAACGCTGCTATCGACATTGAGTTGTGAAAGTTCTCTTGCCATTTCTCTTTCCACTTCCACCTGGATAGCCAACGTGACAAATTTCGCGGCTTCGTCGTTGGGAAGGGAATAAGTCTTCCGAACTTCTTCCACTGTGTTCACAAGGTAGTGCACCTTTCTCTCTACGTAGGCTCTTTTCTCTTTATCGAAAGAACCAAGGTCATTTGAAATCGATACATGGTCCGCAAATAGCCTAAGAAATTTGGCAATTCTGGGGCTGGAAATGTCGACAGTTGAACAAAGAGAGAACTTCGTACACGCTATGACGTAACTGGAACTTATAATTAGTTTCCTTCGTAATGTGTAGACTATTGATCCGTACTTACGGGACAGCTGCGTCGATTATCCTATAGTCCAGAAATTCTCTCAGACTGTGGAATTCGGTGGGGGGCGGGGGGTGATTGATGAAATCCATCAATCTTGCAACTACCTCGGCTCCTCCGTCACCGATGATGCCATCTTGATCATGAAGGCCTTGGATAGTAGCATGCATGGCCTTCTGCAAGATCGAGACTGGTTCATCGTCTCCGTAAGGCATTTGAGCCTTTAGTCGTGATACGAATTCGTTCTGAAATGTTTGGATCTGCCATTCAGCTGTTAAATATGTGGAGCCTCAACAGTTTGGAACGACTCACTGTACTTTCGTCACTCATCTCCCATACATCTGTACCAGAAGTGATTAGAGTAGTAATATTTCTTGTAAGATTCCGCTTACCATCAAAGATGAAGATGTAGACAATAGTCTCAGCGATGAGTTTCAGTCGCTCCTCGCTTGCAGCCGGCCACAGATAAGCACAGAACCGAGTCCAGTTATCATGTAACATCGGCAGCTCCTTAGCGGCTATCTCAGAGTACGATTTGCCTCCATTCTTCAATATACTTGTCGCAGTTTGGTCGGAAGCAAAATGCTGTAGCAGCACTCGTGTTGCTTCTACAGCCATTGGCCAGTGTATGTTCTGTCTTACATGGTGAATCGAAGAATACCATGGAAGTTTTGCATGTACAGGAAAGACAGGAATGCTGTTCATGCTAAGTCTTTCACACTCCTTGATCAAGTATCCAGTTTCAATCTGAACTGCGTTGATGACTGGCTCAACACTGATAGTCTCAGCCTTCAGATCAGGGAAGCAGGACAGGTCGACAAAAGGTGGCATGGACGCTTCATTTGTTGGCATGTAGTCGTGACTGTATCTGACTGGCCAGACAAAACCATTGTGGTCTTTGGAGTTGAACAACCCTAATGGAAGATTAGTTTCATCTAAAGTATACGACACGTAGAGCTAACCAAGGTCAATGTCTTGCTTCGCTTCCATCATGACGATCCGTTCAAGAGTAGAGAAGGGAGTAGAGTCCAGGTCGTTGTCTTTGTGCGAATACAGACAATAAATACCTTCATATACGCCTCCTAACCAGGCGCCATTGTTGTAAAGCAGGGGTACTTCTTACGTCCACGTCAGCAGCATAGTCGTGTTCAATCACCTTTGCAATCTTTCCTTAAACGTCCACAGCAAAAACGAAGCTATTCCGTTTCTTTTCATTGCCGCATATAATCATCAAAAGCCTATTGGTTACTGGCGATCCTTAGATAAAGGCGGCGAGCGTCATCAGAATCTCTTGGGCTTCCCACTCCATCCACCACAACGTAGAAATCAGAACTCCCAGCATGCTTTCAGGTAATAATGGAATCTCGGGACTGAATAACCCAAGAGTCCATCGAGCTTCTCTGAAAAGAGATCATCGTTTTGTACATGTTCTTCTAGCGATGTTGTAGTGTTGAGTTGTGGGGGTGTTGAGTTGTGGGGGTGTTGAGTTTTGTGGGTATTGATTACAAGGGCACAACCAGTTCCACGAATCACGCGTTATGGCACATCACTCACAGAGGTACGGTAAAAGACGCTATCCTGAGAGCGACCCTGAGGCGGCAATATGAGACCCACGCCTGCATCTGGCCGTGCGTTGAACAGGCATCGTCGGAGGGTTGTCGAGCTGCACTGTTGTGATGTGGAGCCCTTGACAGCTCAGCGCGGTACGGGCGGAGCGTGTGGGCCGAACGACAAATAGCCAACGATAGCCAGCGACGACAGCTATCAACAGGCCACCCCCAACGCTGCATACAGCTCCCATCGCCGACATGCCACCGCCTGCTTTCTCAGCCTACAATCTGCCTTGCGATGCACCTCACCTGCGATGGTGCTTGACGTTGCGTACACCACCTCGCGCCATCTAGTCATCCACCCAGAATAACACACATGCGAAGGACTCGGCACATGACCAAAAAGAGGGCAATTTGTGGACCTGCATCAACGCATGTGGTCTGTGTACCCGCACCTTCTACGGTTCCTCTCAGCCCACTACCGTGACATGTCGCTGCGATGAGATTATCGTCCAGGATTGATTGTACTCTTGGAGAGGAAGGTGATTGTAGCTTGTATTCCTGACGATTTGGGATAGGAGGCTGAGGCCATGTAGATGGGTTGTGCTGTTTGACTGTACGTGGAGGCGACGGGGAAAGAATGTGATAAGGTGAAGTCATGCAATATTATCGATTTGGATGCATGTAGAAGATTGCGTACATGTACATGTACAAGTGGGTGATGGCATGGTACTTTATCTTCAATTCCAACTCCAATCTCTCGCACTACGTACACCGCCGCATACAAAGGCTGTTGTTTATTCCAAGGCCTGAACTGTCCAACATCGTCTTCTTCTACCCACCAAATAATGCCAATAAGAAAAACCCGTCCGCAATGCGTTCCTTTCATCCGCCTCAAGTCTCCTCTTTTCTCTCTTTCACCATCCTCACCTTCGCTCCGGACCAAGCCCATCTCCGACGCTGAGACAACCGCTTCAGGGTACACACTAAACACCTCAAACCCAGGCACCTGCAGAAGCTACTTCGGCTGCTCAACCAGTTGCGTCATTTATGTTGATTGAGAGGATTGATGGTCGAGGAATACTATGCTAATTTGTCTGAGTAGATGCGCAGTTTGCTGCTGTGATTGGGGGGTTGGCTGTTGCTGCTGGGTGGTTTGTTTGAGAAGTAGAGAAGGACAAGAGAGCGTCGGGAGCGAGACATCGCTAGCAACATACAAAAGGGCATCAGTTGGAATCAACTGCAAGTGCATGTTTTGTTTGTTTCGTACGCACAGCATCATTGCATCACATCGACATCAAAGATCCATCACTGTGACGCCACGTCCTTGCAATCAAAAAAGCAACAAAGTTGCCATTCATAACCCATGGTCTAAACCTTGTGTCTAGGTAACCCATCGTCTATACTGCGCAGCTCAAAACCCGGCACCATTAAGCCAGGTTGATTCCATATCCATCAAATCATAATCGTTAAAATCCAAAAACATTTCGAAACGCTTTTTCGCATGTCTACAACTGTGTCAGAAGACCCTGGCTCTCCAAGAGCAGGACAATCTGGTGGACGGCTGTTCTGACGTTGGTAGTCGACAGGTCGACAGTCAGGTCAGCGTTGGCGGGCACCTCGTACGGGTCGTCGACACCAGTGAAACCCTTGATCTCACCGGCGCGCGCCTTGGCGTATACACCCCGCTTGTCGGTCTTCTCCGCATGCTCGAGCGGGGTAGAAACGTGGATCAGGTAGAAGGATCCGTATCGCTCTACCGTTTGGCGGGCTGCCTTTCTTGAGTCCTCGAAAGGAGCAATGGGCGCAACGATGGCTGCTGCACCAGCCTTGGTGAGCTCGGCGGCTACAAAGGAGATGCGGGCAATGTTCTTGTCACGGTCGGATCGGCTGAAGCCCAGCTCGCTGGAGAGCTCACTGCGGATGGTGTCACCGAGAAGGAGGGAGACGGAGCGACCACCCTGCTGGTTGAGGGTGACGTTGAGAGCGCGTGCGATGGCGTCCTTGCCGGAGTTTTGGTAACCTGTCAGGAAGACAGTGAAACCCTGTTGGCTGCGGGGAGGGTGGGATTCGCGGAGGACGCGAACGACTTCGGGGTACGAGAACCATTCGGGGATCTCCTGGCCGGTTCGGAGGCGCTTGCGGAGCTCTGTTCACAATGTTAGTATCCAACCCCCAAATGAAGGAAATGCAATTGACGTACCAGTTCCGGAGATGTCGAGGGTCTTGATGCCCTGCTCAACCTCGTTCTTGGGCTTGTACTCGTCCGAGTCGGGAAGGTAGGTCATCTGGAGGAAGGGAACAACCTCGATGCCGAGCTCGTCCCTGTACTTCTCGACGGCGTCCTGGGCGTCGTATGGACCGTAGAAGTCGACACCCTTGGAGTTCTTGCCTGGGCCAGCGTGGTCACGGCCGACAATGAAGTGGGTGGCACCATGGTTCTTGCGGATGATGGCGTGCCAGATGGCCTCACGGGGACCAGCCATGCGCATAGCCAGGGGCAGAAGAGCAAGGACGGCCATGCCGTTGGGGTAGCGGGGCATCAGCGCCTGGTAGACACGGACACGGGTGAAGTGGTCAATATCACCGGGCTTGGTCAGGCCTACAACGGGGTGGATGAGGACGTTGGCCTGGCGAGCGCGGGCAGCGCGGACGGTGAGCTCACGGTGAGCGCGGTGCATGGGGTTCCTCGTCTGGAAAGCGACGACCTTGGACCAGCCAAGCTTGTCGAAGTGCAGACGCAGCTCTGCGGGTGTGTATCGGAGGCCGACATAGTCGTAGTGCTCCAGGCGGTCGATGGCCTCGAGCTTGCCGCCGACGTAGTACTCCTTGACCGTCTCGTACAGGTACTTGATGGCGGGGTGTGCTACGTCGTTGTCCTTGTCGAAGACCTCGCGGGCCTCCTTCTCCTTGTCCGGCTGGTAGACATCGTCGACGGTGATGATGGCCAGGTTGCGGTCGTCGCGGAAGTCGCGCAGGGCGATGCGGGCGCCTTGCTTGACGCCGACCTCATCGATGGTCTGTTTCGAGATGTCGAGTGTGATGGGAATGGAGAAAAGGTTGCCGTCGGCGAGACGGTTGTCGGACACTACGCCGTCGTAGTCCTTCTGGTTCATGAAACCTGCATTATGCTGTCAGGGGTCGTGTTGCTGCAAACATCGCAAACACGAGGGGCGCCTTCGCTGCCCCTCGCCTAGCGCTGCGGGATGACGACTTACCCTCCAGAGGTGAAAAACCTCCGTTCAGGATGAGCTCCAAGTCGCAGAGCTGCCTCTCGGAAAGAACAATGGCCGGAAGCTTCTCAGCCTCTTCGAACAGTTCCTTGCGTCGCGGCGCATCGCGTGCGATCAGGTCCTTGAGGACGCCGCCTGTTGTCCCCTCCGTCAGCATTCGTGACCAACTCCAGCGACTCGGTTGATCAACTCACCATGGGGTGCGTTCGCCATGTCTAAAGAATATGTGAGGAATATAGAATCCGGTGGTGGATCTGGTCAGGTAGTTCGGCGAAGACTTGATGTCGTTCCTGACTATACAAGACTGGCTTCGCGAAGGAGGCTTTGGGTCACTCAGAGAGAAAGATGCGCGACTAAGGACTACAAGGCGGGACGGGTGGAAAGGGCTTTTTATTCCCCGGGTTCTACGGACACTTCAGGCGCCATGTCCCCGATTGTTGACCATAGGCTTCTCTGGATTTTCTCTGCTTGCAGAGACTAGGGCACAAAGCGGGTTGTTGTATGGGTCGGCAGATCTTGGAAGCGATTGCGCAATTGCACGCGATAGTTAGAGCCTGTCTCACCCGGCTTTTCGTTGGGCGACGCGACCACAGTGACGTGAGCGGAGCGGAGAAGGAGCACCATGTCCTGCAGTTTATGTTGCGCTTTAGCGATTTTCAGGAACACCTCACGTATATGACAGGTCTAGCGCAATGCTGGAAATTCGTTCGATTCATGCGTGAGCTTCATTGGCTCCTGCGTCGGTGGTATCTCGGCCCCGTATATACATAATCGGATGCGACTGCCGCAAACCCCATTCTTTCGTGACCCAAACCCCATGCTATGCCATGTCCCA